AATTTAGTTAATTCCAATGATTTGAAAGGTACTCGGTAAAAAAAACTGTATTCGTAATGGGAATGCAATCTCAACCAGGGTCGATATAGGAAACCCGACAGTTACTTCTTCTTCTTCTTTATTGGCGCTGTAACCGCCTAAGCGATTTTGGCCGAGTCCAAACCAGCACGCCAGTCATTTCTCTTCTGTGCTAACTGACGCCAATTCGAAATGCCAAGTGAAGCCAAGTCCTTCTCCACCTGGTCTTTCCAACGCAGAGGAGGCCTTCCTCTTCCTCTGTTACCAGCATCGCGGCCCGCGTTGAATAGTTTCAGAGCAGGAGCGTTTCTGTCCATTCGAATGACATGGCCAAGCCAGCGGAGCCGCTGAATTTTAATTCGCTGCACTATGTCTATATCGTTGTAAAGCTCATACAGCTCATCGTTAAATCGTCTGCGATATTCGCCATCACCAACGCGTAAAGGTACGTAAATCTTTCGCAGAATCTTTCTCTCGAAAACTCCAAGAGCCGCCTCATCAGATGCTTTCATTGTCCATGCCCCCTCGCCATACACCAGCACAGGCATGATGAGTGACTTATAGAGTGAGATCTTTGTAGAGGACTTTATCGAGAGAGGATTTTACTTCTCAATTGCCTACTCAGCCCAAAGTAGCACTTGTTGGCAAGGGTGATTCTCCGTTGGATTTCAAGGCTGACATTATTATTGGTGTTAATGCTGATTCCCAAATAAACGAAGTCGTCTACTTTTTCAAACTTGTAACTGTCAACAGTGACGTGGGTGCCAAGATGCGTATGCTCTGACTGTTTGTGTGATGACAGGAGATACTTCGTTTTGTCCTCGTTCACCACAAGACCCATTCGCTTTGCTTCTCTATCCAATCCCGAGAAGGCAGAACAGACGTAGCCCTTCTTTTTACCGATAATATCGATGTCGTCGGCATACGCCAGCAATTGTACGCTCTTGTAAAGTATTGTGCCTGAGCGCTTCAGTTCTGCGGCTCTTATTATCTTCCCCAACATCAGATTAAAGAAATCGCACGAAAGGGAGTCCCCTTGTCTGAAACCTCGTTTGGTAGCAAACGGCTCGGAGAGGTACTTCCCTATTCTGATGGAGCTGGTGGTATTGCTCAACGTCATTTTACACAGCCGTATTAGTTTCGTGGGGATACCAAATTCAGAGATCGCGGCATAAAGGCAACTTCTCTTCGTGCTGTCGAAAGCGGCTTTGAGATCGACAAATAGATGGTGTGTGTCGATCCAATTCTCGCGGGTCTTTTCCAAGATTTGGTGTATTGTGAATACCTGATCTATGGTGGATTTTCCAGGCCTAAAGCCACACTGATAAGGTCCAATCAGCTCGTTTACGGGGGGCTTCAGTCTTTCGCCCAATACACTCGATAAGACCTTATAACCTATGCTTAGAAGGCTAATTATGCGGTAGTTGGCGCGTATGGCGGGGTCGCCTTTCTTGTGGATTGGGTAGAGCACACTTAAATTCCAGTCGTCGGGCATGCGTTCATCTGACCATATTCTGCATGCGAGCTGATGCATGCACCTTATCAGCTCCTCGCCCTCGTACTTGAATAGCTCGGCTGGCAGGCCGTCAGCTCCAGCAGCTTTGTTGTTTTTCAGCCGCGTAATCGCTATTCGTACCTCGTCATAGACAGGTGGTGGGACAGCTACTCCATCATCATCGACTGGGGACTCGGGTTCGTCTTCTTCACTACTTTCAGCGCTGCTGCCATTCAGTAGGTTGTAAAAGTGTTCCCTCCACAATTTAAGTATATTCTAGTCGGTCACTAGGTCGCCATTGTTGTTCTTACAGGAGTTCGCCCGGTCTTGAAACCTTCCGTAAGTCGCCTAACCCTCTGGTAGAATTTTCGGGCATTCTTCCTGTCGGCCAGCATCTCAAGCTCTTCGCACTTACGTATTTCGGCCTCTCTCTTCTTATTGCGGCAAATACGTCTCGCTCCCTTCTTCAGTTCCCTATAACGGTCCCACGTGGCTCGTGTTGCGCCCGATCGCAGCGTGGCCCTGTAGGCGGCATCTTTTTTCTCTGCGGCTTCTTGACATTCCTCAACAACATGAGGAAACATGGTAATATGTAGAACTAGGTTCCAGCATAAGAACATCCACCAAGCTGCATGGCTGTCTCCAGATCGAAAAACGAGAAACCAAATCGATCATGTTGTGATAGACGGAAGGCATGCTTCGAGCGTTTTAGACGTGCGTACACTCCGAGGGCCAAACATCGACTCGGACAACTATCTTGTTGTAGCCGCCTATGTGCAGCAAAAAATGTGCGCCCAACAATGCAAGGAAAGCTTAAAGTCGAAAAGCTGCAATCACAACAGACGGCCAATTTATTCGCCACTCGACTCACACACCTGCTCTCTGAGAGCACTCTTCAACAACCCGAGAGTTACTGCGACATAGAAATTGAAGCGTGTGTTGAAGAAAGTCGGACTAACAAATACAAATATACATGTAGATCCCGTTTTTGTCCCTCTGAAAGAATTTTAAAAATGCTATACAAATTTCTTATGTTTGAAATGCAACCGTGGACACTAGCTGGCAGGGAAACTTGAAAACAGGGCTACCAATTTGGCTCAAACCGTGATATTTTTGGCCCTTTTTTACGTCAAATGGTTGCTAATTTTGCAATTTGGCAAAATGGCACTTTTGAAAAATAGTAGTATTTTAATACATGTTTGTGAAATACTTTGCGTGTACTTCCTTTTCTCAACTAAAATTTTCTAATTTCTATAGTGTATACAACTGGTTTATCTTACTTTGGCATTGGACTTTCGATTTAGGAATGTGTTTCTAATTTAATGCTGAATGGGAAAACTTAAAAAGAATTGCACACTTTTTGGCACTTTTATTTTTCTCTTTGGCACATTTTGGCAATTTTTTATCCTCAATATTGCACTTCATAGCTAAGTATAGTTGGCAGCCCTGCTTGCAAATTCCTGGAAATTTGCGTTCGTGCAAAAATTTGCAAGTTTCTCTACTTGAGAGAGAATTTGGGAGCACTTTTTCTTACTATCTGATATTTTGAGTCATAATTCTCGCTGGATTTTCGACGAACAAACCTATTGTCTTCACAGAGAGTTTTGCTTTACATAGAAATTTGTGCTCATTTATTTTCATTTTGACGCATTTCATTGTTGGTTATTTTAATTCAAGTTGGCCTTCGGTTTTTGGAATTTAAATAAGCTCTCAGCAAAAAAGTTTGTTTAAAAAATACATATCTGCACATAGTGCTTGAAAATATCAATTTTTCCCTTACCTTAAACTTTTAAGCGTGGGCAACAATGATGCTTTGTAATTAAGACAGAACTGAATATGCGCTATCTGGGAAGACAATATCTGTAATATTTATTCCATGTGTTGGCACTATATCCAAACACAAACGCGTGTTAAGCAGTGAAACAATTTGTTATTTTCTAAGTTTGCGAATAAAACTTCACACTTAAGGAGTGATCGTTTAGTACACTCCATTGAGCAAAAACCTGGCTCAGAAGCACAACAGGAGAAGAGAGGCTTTCTGGACTTGAGCGTCCATGGAAAACTCATCACCGAAAATCGCGAGATGATTCAGGAGGAAATAATTGAAAAATTAAAGGTCGATTGAAAAAGTCACATTTACCGATGCAAATCGTCGTTTAAAGTACAAAACCGCGTTGGTAACGCTTAATAGCGTTCGCGGGTTTTAATAAACGTTTAAAGCGGATTCCTTTCGATAATCAAAAACCAAACACGTTCGATTATGTCAAATCTATTTATTAGAGAGAGGAAAAAAAGGAAGTTAGCTCTGACAGCAAGTATGCCAGAGTTGCCAGTAGTTTGTAATAAACAAGTACATAAGAGATACCAGATAGGCGCGAACATGCCGGCCGCCTTGAACGACTGTTCAAATTATAACAACTTCAATTCAAGTGGTTTCAAATACATAAAATTATACGGAAAAAATGTCGGTCTTTGTGCGTAGCAACGATAGCTTAGCGACAGGTCTCAATAGTTCCCCTTCGGATGTTTTTAAATTTACGACTCGAACTCTACCATCTGGGCCCGGATGTATGCCAAGTACGCGGCCAAGTTTCCATTTCGTGGGTGGCGCGTTACCGTCACGTATAACTACTACGTCGTCTTTCTGCAAATTTGGTGTTGAGCGTAACCACCTTGAGCGTTGTTGAAGTCTGGCGAGGTATTCGTCCCGCCAGCGTTTCCAGAAATGCTGCCGAATTGACGCGATTAATTGCCAACGTTGAAACATAGTTCCTTTAAAGACTTCAACGTCAGGGTCGGGCAGCCCCTTTATTGGTTCGCCGGCTATGAAGTGCCCTGGTGTAAGGACTTCCAAGTCGTTTACTTCGGTAGGCATGCAGCAAATAGGACGGGAATTTACGCAGGCTTCGACCTCAGTTAATACTCTTGCAAACTCTTCGTAAGTTAAAAGCGAAGGGCCCGGCGCTCGTTTGAGATGGTAATTAACGCGTTTATAGTTACCTGCCTCCCAAAAGCCATCCATGTGTGGGGCGCTCGGGGGGTTGAAATGCCAGGTCGTTTGAGCGTCGGCGAAACATGATGACACCTTGTCGTCATTGATGGAGCGTTCGTATGTGATCCGCAGCTCCTTCTCAGCACCCACGAAGTTAGTGCCGTTGTCGGAGTAAATATGCTGACAGTAGCCTCTTCTGGTGGTAAAACGCTTAAAAGCGGCAATAAAGGTGATTGAGGAGAGGTCTCCAGCCAGCTCGAGATGCATTGCACCAGTACTCATACATATAAATGAGCAGATATATGCCTTCGTAGATTTAGCGCCTCTTCCATGCGTAAATTTCAAGGCATAAGGACCAGCGAAATCGACCGCACTGTGGAGGAAACAACGCGTAGAGGTGACGCGGCTCGCGGGTAAATCAGACATGAGTTGTTGTATTGGCTTGCAGCTCAGTCGTCTGCAACGCGTACAACGGCAAACCCCACGAACAAGGTTTCAAATACCGGCTACCCAAAATCGTCGTTGAAGTACGGCCTGCATTAATTTCGGTCCAGCGTGCAATGTTGTGATGTGTATCTCAGCAGCAATTACCTTAGCGAACGGCGAATTCTTCGGCAATATTATAGGATGCTTGACTTCGTCTGAAAGCACGGCGTTTTTGATGCGGCCCCCTACACGTAGAATACCCTTTGAGTCTAGAAACGGTTGCAATCGTGCTAGGCTGCCTCGCATCGGTACAGGTTTGTTTAACCTGCAATTATAAATTTATTGTTCGAAACAATTAAACAGGGTATACTTTACCAATGCTACTTCGGCACTTCGTATTTCGGCGCAAGTTAAACAGCCCGTGATTAGTGCACCTGCACCAGACTGTGAAGCGGTGCTGCGTGAGTTGTTGGCGAAGCGCAATAGATATGCGGTTATACGTTTAAGTTTGTTAAATGAATGATATTTGGTAAACAGATCCCATTCATCAGCGGTTTGTGTTAGATACGCAACGGTATTCTTTGATTTTAACTCGAGCTCCGTGGTGTGTTTTTGTGCGGATATCAGCCAACGACTGTTGCCCTCCCGTAGCCAAGGTGGCCCATTCCACCACAAGGGATGCAAAAGAAGCTGCGATGGTGTAATACCCCTCGATGCGCAATCAGCGGGATTGTGCTCTGAGGCGACGTGCCTCCAATGTGATGCCGGTAAAACTTCCTGTACATCGGCGACGCGATTGGCAACAAACACAGCCCAGCGACTTGGATTGCTTTGTAGCCACGCCAACGCAACCATGGAGTCCGTCCATGCGTACAACTCGCCGATTGAGAGGTTCAAACTTGACTTGACTTGCCGCACCAGCTGCGCCCCTAGATGTGCTGCACAAAGCTCCAAACGCGGCAGCGATGTTGTTTTTAGAGGCGTTACCTTTGTTTTTGCTACAACTAGTACGAATTTAACCTTACCATCTGGGATTTGAGTGCGACAGTATAAAGCGGCTGCATAGGCGACTTCCGAAGCATCGGTGAAAAGGTGGAATTCGGAATCTGAAACTGTGGTAGTTCCCAACCAGCGATTTACTTTTAACGATGAGAGTTTCGACAACTCACTGCGATGAGCCAACCAGTCCTTGGCAACGTCTGATGGTACCGGTTCGTCCCAGTCCCGATTAAACCCAAAGGGTCGAAGATTTTGCTCGAGTCAGAAAGAAAGGTACGTTTAGTAAGTTTGCTTAGAAGAGCTTCCAGATTAACCGCTATAGAAATCCAATCGTTGTTTGTGTGCCATGTAGTACCTAGAGTGCGAATTTCATCTCCATCGGCTAAAAGGTGTGAAATTTGTTTGGATGCATGCGGTATCAGCTTTCTCAGCGTCTGACAATTTGTTGCCCACTTTCGTAGCTCGAAACTGCTTTGAGAAAGCGCTTTGGATACGTCTTTGTGAAGTACAGTAAAACTATGTTCACATATCAATATTATCTCAATCAAAGCTCGTTTTTTAATCACCCCGTTTACACAGGCAAATCTTAGATTATTAGCCGTCAAATTTGTTGTGCTTGTTATTCTCACATCTCTGTTTCTTCTCTGTGCCACCGTGATCACGCTTTTCTGCTATAATAAGCAATATAAATATATTTTAACTTAATATTTTATTAAAAATACCTTTACAAACCTCTTTTACTTGCTAGCGTACATTTTTGTTTACTTTTACATTTGGCATTTCTCCTCTCTTTCGCAAAAACAATCGATAAAACTAGGATGGACACCAAAAAGTTATCGGTTAAATCTGAGTTTATTTCATAATTACAGATTAACAAGGGACGAATTTTATATGGCTAATCTCTTGTTATAATTACAGGTTATACTAGGTTCACATATAAGTAGATTATCCTCATTTTCGAGCTTAACACCCTAATCTGTAATTATAACAAGAGATTAGCCGTATAAAATTCGTCCCTTGTTAATCTGTAATTATAAAATAATCTCAGATTTAACCGATAACTTTTCGGTGTCCATCCTAGTTTTATCGATTGTTTTTGCGAAAGAGAGGAGAAATGCCAAATGTAAAAGTAAACAAAAATGTACGCTAGCAAGTAAAAGAGGTTTGTAAAGGTATTTTTAATAAAATGTTAAGTTAAAATATATTTATATTGCTTATTATAGCAGAAAAACGTGATCACGGTGGCACAGAGAAGAAACATAAATTTTCCTTGAGATGTGGGAATAACAAGCACAACAAATTTGACGGCTAATAATCTGAGATTTGCCTGTGTAAACGGGGTGATTAAAAAACTAGCTTTGATTGAGATAATATTGATATGTGAACATAGTTTTAGGGTGTTAAGCTCGAAAATGAGGATAATCTACTTATATGTGAACCTAGTATAAGTTCGCGATGCGTATCTGCACCGGTTAATAAGTCGTCCATGTAAATGTCTGACTTTACAACCTCGACAACTCTTTTACTTGTGTTGGTCGCGTCGAGCGCGGCTTGTTGAAGTGACTTCACTGCCAGGTGCGAAGCGGAGGCAAGTCCATGAGTGACTCTTAGCAGACGATAGTCACGCATTGGCTGTGGAGAGTTCTCTCGCCACACTATGCGCTGATAATCGATGTCCTGCTTAGCCACGTAAACCTGCTGGTACATTTTTTCGACGTCAGCAATGATACCGAAGCGGTGAGTACGAAATCGAGTCAGAACAGAGAAGAGGTTTTGCTGCAACTGTGGGCCTACCATGAGAGCGTCGTTTAGAGAGTTACCTGATGATGTCCTCATAGATGCGTTGAACACGACTCTGAGTTTAGTCGTTTCGCTTGTGTCCTTTAATACCGCATGATGTGGCATATAATATACGTTGGTTCTTGCAGGCTCGACTAACTCCATATGGTCCATGTCAATAAATTCTTGCATAAACTTACTGTACACCTGGCGCAGGTGTTTGTCAGCGGAAAATCTATTTTCCATGCGGAGTAAGGCTCGAACTGCGGCGGCTCTCGACTCACCGATCAGGACGTCTGTCTTAGGCGTTGGACGCACGCCTCGGTGACGAATGAAGCATGCGAGCCGTTGTCGAGCTGAGCTCGGGCGGGTTGCCAACGACCAGCGAAGTCTTGCACCACAATCTCAGCGGTTGCCAGCAAAATGACACAATCAGCGTCAGCGTAGTGTGAGGTGACGTTAACGTGCTGTCCGGTTGAACTGCTAGCGGGTGTTGCGGTTTGGTTGGTGAAGTTTGCATGAAGTAACGTGTGGTGGTGGTGTTGACATATACGACACGAAGATGCGCTGCTGCATTTAGCGAGAACGTGCCCTTTGCTGGAACAATTTACACATGCGCCTAGCCCGTTAATAGCGGCTAATCTACCCTTTGAGTCGAGTTGGCTGAACTGCGGACAAGCGTGGATTTTGTGTTCACCATTGCAATGAGCACAATGCAACACCTTTGTAGCGGCCGATATATGGTCGCGTGTTTCTGACTGATTGCATGCCGTGCACGTTCTTTGTTGTTGTTTTTGTATTAGAGCTTACTTGTGGCACCATCTCTAATGAGCGTGCACGAGTTTCGAGAAACTCTCGAAGAGCGGAGAAGGATGGTAGATCATCTACCACAAGCGATAGCTACCATTGCTTGCGGGTTTCGTATGCTAACTTGGATAAGGTTAAATGAATGAGCCAATCGTCCCAAAATTCGACTGGATGCCCGAGCGCGCGCAGCGCGCCAACGTGCTGAAGGATAGCATTTAACACGAGTTTGATTGCTTTGGCTGTATCTTGGCTTGGCTTGTATATCGCATGACTTTGTACCTCGCGGTCAATAAGTCCCAAGCCTCATTATAATTGCTGTCACCAAGTCTAATGCTTCTTCTCACGACGGCAACTGCAGTTTAGGAAGTGGCAAGGGAGCAGGCGCTACTTTTACGGACCCCTGATGCAATGGCTGCTTTTGAGCTGATAACAGGCGTTTTAAATTAGCCTTGGCGGTGCTATACCACTCCTCTCCTTGTATGCGTGACTGCTCCTCCATGGAGGCGTTCTCATCCCCACACGACAGCTCCACTTCCGGCTGTGCATGTTGCAAATGTCAGCGCGGAATAAATTTAGTAAATATAGGCGGGTTTGCGAATTTCTATGAAAATATAATGGGATCCGGGTTGAAGGACCAGTTTATGGTAAGGCTTAATAGCGTTCGCGGGTTTTAGTAAACGTTTAAAGCGGATTCCTTCCGATAATAAAAAAACCAAATACGTTCGATTATGTCAAATCCATTTATTAGAGAG